GTGGAGTTTGGAAAGACTTAAGAATTTCATGTGGTGAGGTTAATAAATCCTAAGGCTGAAAGCAGGCTGGAGGATACACTCAGGCCTGGAACACAAGCCTGGGAGGGCAAGCAGTCTCATTTTTCCATGCTAAAATATGAAATACTTGCTGTGTATAAGGTATAACTTGTATGCAGGTGTGGATCCAAGTTTTCAGGGCTCAAGGGTTAGACAGTTTTTGGAGTCTTCCATAAGAAAGGAAATAAAACTCACTTTTATCCTCCTCCCTCCTCACCAGAAACAACCATTCTCCTGAAACCTGGGCTTACCTTCCGCTTGCATTTCTTTACAAGGTTTTGATGTGCATATATGTGTTTCCAAAGCGTATTTATTTAGCTCCGTATTTCTGGACTCCATAGGAACCATGTCAGAATACATACTTAATTTTGCAATTTGCCTTTTCCACTCAAGTGTGTTTTAGATTTGTTGGCACTGACAAATGCAGCCATCAGTTCCCTTTCCCTTTTGCAGCGAAACAAAGGCAGTTCCTGCCCTGCACGTCTGTGGAACTCACGGAAGTCAGAACTCTCGCCTCCACTTGCACCATCCCATGGTAACTGAAATTGTGTATCACATTTTTTCCCCACCAATCTTTTGTCAAAACTTGCCAGTTTTTGTTCTTACATACCTTATAGTTGGTTCCAGGTACATGGGGTTTTCTGTGGTGAAAACCCAGGTGAGGGAATTCTGCTTTATGGAGAATCTGCCATTTCCACTTTTCTGAATAATGCCAAGTTGGCCAGCCAGGTGGTTCCACTGATAAACGTCCCGCCAGCAGCAGGTGAGAGTTCCCTTTGCCCCATTCAGTTTCACTGATTAAAAGTTTCTTACCAATCTGGCAGATGACAACTAGTAACCCAGTCTGCATTTTCTTGATTTTAGTGAGACAAAATCTTTTTTTGGAAGTTTATTAGCTTCATTTTTCCTCTTTATTGAAATGGTCTTTTGCCTGTTAGGGCAGCTTTTTCCTCTGTTTTTGGGTGGTTGTATTTTTCTGAAACATGATTTTCCTCCTTTCCTGGGGGTTCTCGGTGTACTCTGAAAAGTGATGCTTTCTCGGGTATGTGTTCTTTAAAGATTTCTCATTCGGGGCTTATTTTTTTTTTTTTTTTTTGATTAAGTTCTTGATTTTAAAATCAACCTTTTTCTTTATGCTTTCTAATTTTGTGTCTTAAGAAATTCTTTCCAAAATATCATAAGGATATTCTCCTGTCTAGTTTTGCAAAAAGTAAAGGTTTTAATTTTCCTGGAATTGATTCCTGTGTGGTATGGGGTAGAGATTTCATTTCGTTTTCTTCCGCATGGATATATGACAGTCTCAGCACCATTCGTTGAATACTGAACCCTTCCCATGTAATCTTTGACACATAACCAGTTTCCTCAAGTGTGTAAGTCTGTTCTGGGCTCTCTATTCTGTTCTGTTTATTCTACTGCCTTGTCTATTCATGCATGAATGCCTTGCTGCACCGATTACCGCAGCTTTCTAGGAAGTGCAGGTACCTGTTTGGGCAAGTACCTCTACCTCAATCTTTGTAAAGTTGTGCATTCTTCAAAGAAACAGGTCAGCTCAGAGTAGCCCGGCACGCTTACCACCGATCAGTCCAGCGGCCTGCCTCAGCCATTCCTACACCCTCGAGCCCGGTGTGAGCGGACAGGACAGCTGTGCAGAACTCCATCACCACTCACTTCCGGTGTTGTCTCAACTGGCCACTGCTCCCTAGTCAGTTTCCTCCCTTCTCCTTCGGGGGTTCTTCCAAGCTTTCATCTTCCCCTTCAAGTCCCAACCCCACCCCGCCTTGCCACTCAGCTGACAACACACGGAGGCTGACCCCCTGGGCTCGGCTGCCACTGCGTCATCTTTCCACCAACTCCTCTGCCTGGGCCACTTTCCTGCCTCCTGCCAGCTCTGCTCTGAGTTCGACCTGCCAAGACCTTCCTCCGCTATTTTATTTGATCTTCATGTGTTTCCAACGTCTCCTCCATGGCCTCCCTTCCTTGAGCACATTCCCAATTTCTTTCATCTTTAACAAAAATATAAATCAAACTAATGTACAATTCAAAACAGAAACACAAAATCCTTTCCTTAGACTCTGCTGACCATTACAGGGAATTAGGGGATTGCAAGATGCTGCTGGCCAGATGACCCCAACATGGCAAGCTTGCCTCAACCAGCCCTCGTGCTCCTCTCAGGCAATGCCCTTGCTCCCTTGGCTCCAGCTACTTCCTCTCTGCAGGGCACACCCAATTGTCTCCAGTTCAAACAGCATCCTGAGTGCCAGACTTGAGAAGCCTGTTGCTTCTAGGTCTTCAGCTGGTTGACCTATGTACCTTGAGCTCAGTGTAGACCTGTTTTCTGCTCATAACCCATTCCTGTCCTGGATTTTAATACAGTCACTCAGAGACCTGAGTTATTCTAGACTCCTCCCCATGTGACTTCTCACACGCACTTGGTCACAAAGTCCTGTGCTTCCCCCAGCCCACACACTTCGCAGGTGTACCACCTCCTCTCTAGCTTCATCCTCTTGCCTTAACTATTATAGTAACCTTCACCTGGCCTCTGCCAAATGCAAGCCATCCTGCACACAGCTACCACTTCTAAATACAGGCAGAGGAGCTTAATTCTCACTCAGATTCCTGTTATGTTCTTCAGCGCCTACAGGCTAAAACCTTAACCCTGTCACATGACACACATGGCCCCTGCACTCCACACCCCACCCCCAAATATTTTGGTGGCACTGGCCTACTATAGTCTAACATATAGCATACCCTCAATCAATACGTTGCATGAAACCTAACAGATAGAACACATGAGTGGTACTATATAAAATAAATAGTAAGTGTAACCCTGAGTGGAAATCTATCAATTAGGAATTAGGGAACTGTCTTCAGATGAGAGTAAGAGAAACAGAAGTAATATCGTAGCGGCTTACCAAATGGAAGGAAATGGATAAAATATTACTAGCATCAATCAATAGTTATGAAGGGAGCTTGCAAGGTGGTTAGGCTGGAAGTCTCACTGGGCTAACAGCAGAACCTCTGATAAACTCTTGCCATGCAAATAATTTCTTCATTAAGGACGAAGAGCAACAGTGAGAGGAGAGTCCGCTCTAGTTAGTTCTGAAGAGTTCACTGATCAGGTGTGGGGGAGTGACAGAGGCCTTCTAAGAAAATGACCAGAGCATTCGCAAATTCACAGATATGACAGACGGGGATACCAGGCAGAGTCAGACGTGTGCCCTAGATTTCAGAGAAAAGGAGGGAGTAAGTCCATGGACAGAGACACCACAATCAAAGTGCATTAAAGAGGGTCTTTAAAAGCGAGAAATGCTAACATTTAGTAGGGTCATCAGAGGGAACAAAAAGATCTGAAGAGTTACACATCACCTTTTCCTATGGCTACAGAAAAATCTCTTACTGGTACAGACATTTTTCCTTTTGAAAAAGTAATTTCGTTTTACTTCTAATTACAAAGGCTTAGATCTTTTTTTTTTTGAGATGAAGTCTTGCTCCATCACCCAGGCTGGAGTGCAGTGGCAGGATCTCAGCTTACTACAACCTCTGCCTCCTGGGTTTAAGCAATTCTCCTGTCTCAGCCTCCTGCATAGCTGGGATTACAGGTGTGTGCCAACATGCCCGGATAATTTTTTTTTTTGTATTTTTAGTAGACAGGGTTTTACCATGTTGGCCAGGCGGGTCTTCAACTCCTGACCTCAAGTGAGCCACCCGCCTTGGCCTCTCAAAGTGCTGGGATTACAGGTGTGAGCCACTGCGCCCCATCAAAAGCTCAAATCTTAAAGGGGCATGAACATATTATAAAATGGGACGTACATAAAAATGAATATAGAAAAAGCAAATGGTCTTAAGCCAAATGACAGGGCCGTGGAGGGTGGCTAACTCCCACCTGAGCTCACATGCTGGGCTTCTTCATCAAGCTACAGTTTGAGCAGTTCCTTTGAAGAGCAGGGCTGCTTTTCTGAGTTCAGGATAGCAAGAGGAACTTCTCAGCCTGTTATATACTGACATTTCAGTGACTACCGATGCCGAACATTCGATAGAAAAGGAAAAAACGATTAGGAGAGAAAGCCTAAGTTAAGGCCTCACCCAGTCAAAGTGTGTTACAGCAGGGAGACAAGAGTGTCTGCTGTATCTTCTATACTCCCGAAATGTTGGAAATTTTTATAGTTAAAATTAAAAACATCTAAAGCAGTTAAAGGAAGAGACTAAATTAAGGAGGGAGATAAACGAAACCGAAGAGACAGATTGCTTGGGGGCCCCTCTATCCTGAATACCCCCAAATTTCAAGAACACATCAGAAATTCCTCTACAGACAGTTCTAAGGGAGAGGGAACAAACACATCCGAGGGGACACCTCACACTGAAGCTGCCACAGATAAGCGTGGTTCCAGACCTCTCCCAATGCACACAGCACTTCCACAGGGAATCAGGATCTAGCAGGTGAAGATCACTTTTTCCCAAATCCCCAGCAAGTACTTCAGATAAAATATAATGCCCCCCGCCTTTTTTTAAAGGGGGCCTCACACACATATTTGAGTATGTCTCTTATTCACTCCCTCGCTCTTTTGGCAGTGAGAAGTATCAGTGCAAGTTCTAAGGGGATGAGGGCACTTCACAGCTGCCTTCTGTGGTCCGGCTTGCACCTCTCATCACCCTGCCATCCTAACAAACCACACGATGGGGAGGCCTGATGACGCTGCTGCATCTGCACAGGCCCACACACCTGCTAGAAAAGGAGAGGTGTGTGCCAGGTCTACCCAACTTGGGAGTGTGTACTTTTCCTGCTATGTACCAGGCCCTTAATTCCCAAAGGGGGAGATATGAGTCAGATTCCTAAAAATTGTACAATTTTGAAGAATGTATTTACCATCTGGTTCCCTATGGTTCTCAACCATTTTCACACGTTTATCTCAAGTCAGATTCCAAAGTATGTGGAAGGCAGCTGCTGATGAAATATTTGTTAGTTTTAATTTTATTCTGAAGTCATTATTCAGTTCTATAATACAAAACTAAAATCTATTTCCTTTATTTACATGATGTAAAATTTTCAATCACAAACATTTCTACTCAGGAAAGTTGGTGTTAAAGCAGAAATACTGTCATAATCGATTCAATGGGAGAACATAAAATAGGCTCCATTTCATAATTTTCCCAGAAGAAAATGTCCAGTTTGTTTAAATGTAACCAATACTGTATTAGATTCACTTTAGAAACCATACACTCCTTCCTGTCTTTTGAACAGATTCTGGAAGAGAGCTGTGAAGATCTGAGTGGTGAGTCCACGCCACCCAGCGTCCATCTGTAACCTGATGGCTTGATTCTTTAATCATCTTGGGATCGATTATCTTCAACGATAATAGTTCTTCTAGGATAGGATTCAATTTCTACAAATACGTATCGAAAATCATATTCACCACTTTTTGGATTCTGAAAAAAATGTAGTATTTCCAGGTATTATTTTCCTTTCTAGGACTTAAGTAACATTGCGCTTAGAACCTCCGACCCCACGACCCACGGTTCCCACACCTCCTTCACTTCTGCATGCACCGTTCCTTGCTTCCCTGGTTCGGAGCCCTCGATGTAGAATTTCACACGCATGTGTTCCAGCCCATCTTTTACATATTCAATGAAACTGTTGAGAAAAAGAAAGGTCAGTCTAAGTTCCTTTCATTGAAAAATCTCCCCAGAGCTTCCTCTGAATTCAAGCCACGGTACCTGATGTGCTGCCTGCGACCCCGCCTTGTCGCCTCCCCGTAGCCTTTAAGAGGCTCACCAAAGACACCGATCACCTGCAGAACAAGGACAGGGCTTTATTTTGTGTGTGTGTGTGTGTGTGTGTGTGTGTGTGTGTGTGTGTGTATGTTTTTTTAAGCTTTCTAAGGAAATAATTTCTAACCAACCAAATGATTTTAGGAAAAAATAAATCAGTAAGCCTAGGACCTTCTCAAAAATGACCACTCCAGTAAGAAAACTGAAAAAAGGGTTATTATACAAAAGTCATCCCATAAATAAATTAAGCAAATATTTCACGCCCAAAGATTAAAATAGGTAGCTTTGTGCTGGGACTTATAGTTTCAGAACCACGTAGGCAGAAATGACACAGTTCCTGCTCCCCTTACAGAAAACAAACAAGACAACACAGAGTTCAGATGTTTCTCCACTAATACCTATGGTTTGAAGATAAAATGCATGAACATTTTAAATGAAATTTCATTAATTAATGGCACCTAATACTAAAACTATGAGATCAAAAAATTTTTAAAGTCACTATACACAGTGAAGAAAAAGAAAACAGATAATAATGACATTTAAAATAAATCAGAGCTGCAGGTGTGAATCTATTATTTCTAATGAGAAAATCCACATGAAGTGGAAATGTAGTTTTTATTGAATTCAAAATGCAAATACTGTGGAACCCTCTAAAAAATATAAATTTGATACTAAACTAAAAAAATTTGACCCTCAACTCTATGAAATGGATCTTATTTTCTCTGTTTGAAGAATATCTTCAGTATCACATTTTCCAGGAGAAAAAGAAGTAACATGTAAGAGGATATTTCAGAGCCGTATAGCTCAAACAAGTAGAACAATCCACTTTAACCTATTAGACACACAAATATCAACACCCATCAGCATTTTCTATCTTTCAAGCAGACACAGTACCTGGCAAAGAGAAGGGTACCCGTTAAAAAATGTTAGTTTAATTATTATTTGTAAAGCTTTTTCAGGCAGCAAATTAAGTTATGACTTTAATATCTCATTCTTGTATATTCTGTGGAGGTTTTTGTTCAAAATGCTGAAAAATCTATGAAATTTGTGAATAATTAAGTTATGACTTTAATATCTCACTCTTGTATATTGTGGTTTTTGTTCAAAATGCTGAAAACTCTATGAGTTTTGAATAACATAGCAACTCTTCATCTCTTTCCAGAGATGCATCCTAACATTTAATTAGGTCACCACCCATAGGTATTTCCGCAGTCTGTAAAGAATGTTTATTGTCAGATATAGTAACTATCATAGGAACCTTCCTTATTTCTTGCTGGTTTTCACCTCTGGAATACTTCACCCTGCCTACCTCGGTCCAATTAAGAGAAATCAGTGGATTTAAAAAGAAAGATGCCAGTGATTGTTAGCTTCTGAGGTTTCCACCCTGACATGATTAGAAAAAGTGGTACAGTCAGAGCCGGAGCCCCAGGGAAGATCAGCCCTGGGCTCTGTTTTGAGAGCCTGCTGTGGATTCAAACCTTTCTCCTCTTTAGAGACTGCAAATGCTAGGGATGACATTACTCCTTGGTCTGTGTGAAGAACAGCCTAATATTTATGATGATAATGGCAGACAGTTATCTGCTGTTATCTTTCAAGGTGAATGAAGTTGGATTTCAATGAGTAATGTTTTCAGTGCTAAAGCTTTCCATCAGGGAGTAAGAAATTTAGCACTTCCCACAGCGCTGGCTGTGTGTGGCTGAAAAGCCACATTCTAAAGCTTTCCTTCCGACAGGGCCCTTCAAAGAACCAAGGCAGCTTCCCCACGTGCACTCCTCCCAGGGAAGGGCAGAGGCAGACTCTGCTTAAGAGCTTCAGATCTGGAGCAAATCTTGCATCTGCCTGGATTCAGGTTGTGGATCTCCAACTTACCAGCTCCGTGATTCTGGTGAAGTTCCTTAATCTCTTTAAGTGTCAGTCTCTCCTTCTGCAAACTGAAGCTTAAGTAGCACCGAACACCAATGGTTTCTGTGAGACTGAATAAAGACGATGCCCTGGGACCCTAGGCACGGTGCTTGCACAGGACACATTTTCCGTAAGTAGCAATGACACTATGACCATGAGGTCATGTATCAGGCTTTAAAAAGGCTAGAAACTTATCACGAGTTTGATATTTTTGGTGTAGTCTAAGAATTTAGTATCTACAAACAACCAGCAAAGTGACTCTCTTGTACAAGTAGCACGACAACATCTGTACACTGAGCTTTGGGTTCTCTTCAAGAACAAAGATCTAATAATGTAACGATAGCTCAAGCATTACATATTATTATGTGAGTTTCACCAGCATGAGAACTGGTTCTTGAATTCTGCCCATTTCCTCCTCCCAGACATTTTCTCCCCATCATCAGAGTTCATGTAGCTGAATCTTGAGAACTAACCTCAGGATGTGATCTGCATTTTTCTAGGGCTCTCCCATATATCTTGCTAGGACTTGAGGAAGAAAAGAGTTCTTTGAAAATTGTGTAAAACAAGCCACCTGAAATCACAGAAAACAAAGATGGAGTAAAGCCAGGGCACCATAAAAAGGCCAGCTGAAAAGGTGTTCAAGGCTTTATACTTGCTGTTTTTTGCAACCTGTAATGGTGATTCCAAAGAGCACCACTATTAAATAGGTAAAATCTCTTCCGGCTTCTTTCACTGTAAGGAGAAAACACCAATAGGTTATGCGTGGCGGCTGGGAGCAGGCCTGCTTGCTTGCTGCTTCTGCGCTTCTTCTAAGAGAGAGGCTGCCTCCAGATCAGAACAACGGGTCTGCGTGTGTACAGGGGCAGCCGTTTCGAAAACTCCTTGTGTTACTGTTACTGCCTCCGCAGAACTCTCAGAGCAGGGCTTGGGAGTCTATGTTTTAATTGAACACTACAATTTTAACACTGTCTTAATTTCTAGGATGAAGAAATCCTTTTAACAAGTGATCCAGTCTACCACTGCCATAGGTTAGGCAACACTGGACCCAGATCTGCCACTCCCAGATGAAGAGTGCTGGCTTTTGACAACCAAACAGGCAAGGTACTGAATGAACCAATATGGGTGTCGACTCCTAACAGTCAGTAACTAGCTCAAATGCCAGTCCCACCCCACACGCTGACTGCTGCATAAAAACAGAATCGGGTTTGAAGTAGAAATTTCGTTGGCCAGAAAGATTTATGAATTAAACTTAGAAAATGAAAAACATGCATAGACCAGACATTTGTTTTCCCACGCTAATAAAATATGTGCATATGGATTAAACAAAAGGTCTGAGAACTAAAGAAACTCAATTAAGACAGTGTTACGGGGCAGAGTATATACGTATATATAACTATAAATAAGTGTATTTGTATTATACCCTTATTTGTCCTTATTACCCAAATCAGGTCATTGGTCTCAACACCCTAGATTCCCGATGGTCCCTCTCAACATTTCATTCCTGCCTTGCTTAGCATATCAGACCAGTCTTTCTGTTTATTTACTCACCAACAGCTACCATGTATCTACTATGTGTATCTTCATATACAAGAAAAGAGCTATAACATTACAATTACACTGGCTCAATATTACAATTACTACGCTTTTCACTGATGCTGAGAAACTGAGTCACCTCCCGGCATTATGTTTATAGGCTAATTTATTGACCACATTAGAAATTCAGACTTCTGAAATATAAATCTTTAAAAAATTTTTAAGAAAAAAACTTAAAGAAAAAAATTTTAACAGAAGTTATTTTCTCTTCTGTATAAAAAGCTTCTATTACTTTTATATAAAACAACATTGTTTAAAAGAAGTCTTTAGCTAATACAACGCTTGTTTTAAAGTAGTCGTTAGCATAGCACAATCCTTCAAGTTTTCAGCAAGATTCCCAACTTAGAAGATATTATTCAGATAACAAAAAGACCACATCTGCCAGTCTGTGTAATTCATGGGATTGACTCAACAATTGTCACAAATCCAATTTCCCTCCCAAGGTTCAGGAGTTGGGGCCCACAACATCTCATTCCACTCTGTGTCACAAAATATATTTCAATAAATATTACCTGCCAGTTACGTGTCAAGTCCCAGGTTGACAACACAATAACAACTAATTAGTTCTAGTAAGTATCCTTATTTGTCCTTGTTATGCAAATCAGGTCACTGGCCCCAACACCCTGGATTTCTGACTATTCCTCCCAACTATTCATTCCTGCCTTGCTTAGGGTATCTGATAGGTATTCTCCATTTATTGGATAAACAACAGCTCCTGTGTATCTGTTACATATAAAGCCCTGTGCTGAATATTCTCCATATTCTACAGATTTAAAAAAATTACTTTATAGTTGTCTCCAGTGGAAGCTGCTTCACTGTCTAACTTTCTCAGCCCTTTCAGATCTAATACTTTCATGCCAAAAACCCTCATGCCTTTTGCTTCTGCAGTTCTCTAGGCCTCCTGTAGTGGGTGTTTTGGATTTGGGTGCTCCCAGCTGCAGGGAGCGCTGGTAGTTGACAGTTATCAGCTGAACTCCTCTCTGGGCATTCCATCATAAGAGAGCTTTCTCACTTAGGTCATGGCACTTCCTGGGCCAGCCCATACTCAATGCCTGGTTGATGCGGAAGTGTAAGACTCAGCCACCACGTTAGGTAGGATGGTAACTGGACAGCCCAGCCCCAGAGCTCCCCAGAGCAGCGGCTGAGGCCCCAACTGCAAATACACTTCGGCTTCCCCCTCTGCCCAGTTCTGCCTCCCTCACCCCACAAGATGCATTCTGAGAGCACTCCGATAAACATCCTTATGCGAATCTCACTTTCCCGAGAAGCCGACCTACGATGGCTGCTACCAGGAGTGGTAAGTAGCTCTCAGTTGGGATTTTGGAGCTGGCTACCTGGCTACTGGCTAGCAATGAGGACTCTGTCCCTGGTGGTAGGGGGGCACTGACAACGCCTGTCTTACAGCTATAGTGCAGCTGAGGCAGCTGTTACCGATGGGGACTTGGGATGGAATACTGGCGGAAGGGAATGCACTGGCTGGTGTGTTTTTTTGGGAATTTAGGAGGAATCAGCAATTTTAAGGACTTAGAAGGCTGTGGCTGGGGCCATGGATACTCTGGAGAGGGAGGATGAGATGATACGTGTAACTAATCACCAATAACAGTGACTGCCAAGGGCAGGGGGCCTCCTCCCCAGCAGAACAAGACTCAAACTGCACCCAGAGGGCAGAAAACGCAGGGGTCAGGTCTGTGGCATTAGGGCAGCAGGGAGTTTGGCATTTCAAGCCCATGAGACCTCCCACACCTAGGTCAGGGTCCTGATTTGGGAGGAAAGGGAACCTAAAGCTGCAGTGGGGGCCCTTGAGGTCAATGCTCTAAGCAGCTCATTGTCTGGTAAAGGTTGGCATTTCTTCCATCTTGGAAACTTGGCAAGGGGTGGGTGGGTGGCTTCTGCCTAGGAAGACACATGCTGCCCTCAAGAGGTCTCTCCACCTCCCGTCCTGGCCAAATTAGAACACAACTGGGCATGAGAAGGGTGAGAAGGAATGATACACAGAAGGAGCTGGAGGCCCCACCAGCGGGAGCCAGGGGAACATACATAACATATCACTGCCTCTTAAAGGGGGTGTGTCAAGGGCACAGAACACAAACCCAGCTACGTGAGAATTGATCAGCATGGGGCACACTCCTGTGATGAATTTAGCAACCGGGCAAGCACCCTGGGAACTGATATGCAGCTGGCTAGGTTTGCTCCCGTAAACTTTGAGACAGTGATGGTCCATAATAAGTAAAAGTGACAGAACAGCCATGGCAAACTGGAGGAAAGGCTCAACAGCCTCGAAGAATGGGGATGCTACCATAGATATAAGATATAAAGCCTGAAAACCCACCAGCTGACTATATTCTTAGGAGGAACTGGAGGACACTGAATACCAAAGCCACAAGGAAGCCAGTTACATCTTTACAGAGCAGGATGCCCTGACAGCAAAAGAACTCTGAAACAGAGACCAGGTTGGGGTATTAGACAGAAGCCAAGATGGGTGCAACCATAACTGATGGCAAGTCGGGAGTGTCTGACCCGCACAGAGCAAGAGTTGATGACTAGAACACAGTGTTCCCAAGGGCAAGTCTGGACCTGAGCAAGTTTTCAGACCTGGAGCCCATTTACAGAAGGAAAGTGTGTGTGACTGACTCCCCCAGTTCTTCACCAAAAGGACCTATAGTTATCAACTTGGACATAACCTGTGCTGACAGTGATGTCCAAGGATCCACTCCGACCCGCCTCAGCATGTAAGAAGCTGATAGCTGGGTGCATGGACTTACCTGGTAATCATTTCTGTGATTTCCAAAAGTAGAAATCAAGAGGATGTACTGAGTAATTGGCAACAGTAACTCCTACTTTAGTTCTTTTGGAGGTGGGTTAAGAGCTATCACCGTGGGAAAAGTCAAATGGAAGCTTCTAAAACTGCCCCAGTGACCAAGATAATAAATTAAAAACAGTATCACATCTATGGGGAATGGCAGAGAGAGTGCTATTCTGCATTAAGAGACCTTAATGCAGGCATGGTGGTCCCCACTGGTGGTAAAGTCCCTTGCAATTTACCAGTCTTCCGTTACAAAAAAACAAATAGGGGCTGGAGATGACAGTGGTTCACTGCAAATTCAACCAAGTAGTAGCCAGGGTACACATGCAATCCCACATATGGTAACTTTACAGAGGAGTGCATTAACACAGTCTCATGGTATTGGCCATTGATTTGAAGAATGCCTTCTTCCCTGTCTCTACTGAGAAGCAGCAGCAGGAGTACTCTGTAGTAACATGAAACAGATAATAATAGGATTATCCTGTTATTATAATCCTGCCCAGGATCTGCTAATTCTCTCACCCTCTGTCATAATAGTCTTAAGGGACTGACACCTTCTAGACCTGGGCTGTGTAACACAGTAGCCACTACTGGCTATTTCAGTTCGATTTTAAATTAATTAAAATTAAATTAATTGAGTTTTTCAGTCACATAATTTAACAACATTTCAAGTGCTCAAAATAGCTACAAGTGGCCAGGAACTAACCAAATGTACAGCACAGATATAGGACATTTCTATGACTGTAGAAAGTTTTATTCGAATAATCCTGTTCTGGACATTGAACAGAATATCACATTTGTCTACTATGTTTATGCCGTCATGTTTGAGCCCATAAGTAACAAGTGGCAAGTGTGTCAGAAGGCTCAGTCAGACAAGTTGCAAGTGTGAGAGGTGGGCCCAACAAAGATCCAGAGGCTCACCAACACATGAGTGGGCCTCGTGGGGCTACCTGGGTGAGTGCCAGGATATGCCTTCGCAAGTAAAAGACAATTGTTGCACCCTATACCTCCTAACACAATGCTTCATAGGCCTCTTTGAATTCTGGACGCAGCATATTTCACATTTGGGAATGTTGCTTCCATCCACTTACTCAGTAACGAGGACTGTCATCTCTGAACGGGGTGCAGTAGGGCTCTCTAAGGAGGCCTAGTGGGCAGTGCAAGCAGCAGCACTGCTGCCGGAGCCAGATGACCTGACACACCTGCCCGTTTCTATGCCTTTCACCTCTGCATATGGGTTGTTCCTTTGTGCTGAACTATTATGAATGAAAAACTAGATTATATTTTTGGCATATGCAGCAGATTACAAAACAATTGGTAGACTATGATTCAATTTTTTGGGTTAAAATTATTAAAAAGTATGTGTATGAAAGTGCAAAATGTTAAAAAAAGTCATCTTTGTGTGGTATAACCATGGGTGTATAAATTGCTTTGTTTCTTATTTTTTTTCCTACAAATTACACGTGAAATGAAAAAATTAAAAAAAAAAACACACCTTAAAATACCTGTGAACATATCTCTGACTTTCCCTGACAAATCACATTCCATCCTCCCTATATGTTTTTCTATTATTGCAGGTAACATCTGAAAGTTTTCCCTACTGGTTATGCGTCAATAATCTCTCTTTTTATACTATCAAGTTACTCTTTATTATATGTAACAGAGCTAATAAAACTTGACAAAAATTTCCCACACATAATGCAAAAAAGTTATATTAAAGACCACCTTTCAAATCTGAGTTTCAATCTGTAAAGAAAACTGTAGGTCTGTATGTTCTAGTTCTAAATTATAAACGATTTTTAAAAACTCATGTGAATTGCTTTTTCACCTTTGGCAGTGAACTTGGTGTAAAAGGGTATTGGGAGCTCTTGTCTTGATGAGAGACCAATCATTATTATTATTATTTTTTTTACCTTTTTGTGCTGTTGAGACGGCGGTTCCCTCTCTCTGACTCCTGTGCACCGACACTTGTTTGCTACTATCCTCCTTTGCTTTTCGGGAGCTCGGCCCCTGAGTCCAGAGGGCTTTCTGGGTGACTCCAAGAACACATCTAGGTCGCACTGTTTTCTTTTGATATTGAAGCCCCCATCTCAAACTGGGCTCAGTCTTCAAGCACGCTTTGTTAAGCACAAGGTGTGGCAAAAGTAATCGCTTTGCCGGGGACCTGTGCAGCTTCTCCGTATATTGTATGGCTCGTAGAAAAGTACAAATCATGTTCACAAAAATCGCTCCGCTTAGGGACGATGCTAACTACAATTAAGAAAGCTTTAGGGTTCACCTCACATCCGGCCGGAGTCCTACTCAAGCCTGTACCTTTACATACATGGGGTGTTAGGCAAAAACCTTAGCTTCAGCAGCGTAAATGAAAACGAAAAGTCTCCACAGAGAACCTGATGTCCACCTTCCCTTCTGTCTTCATTCTATTTGAATTAAAATGCTCTGATTACCTTCTGGGTTGACATTCACAGGGTCCCTGCCATGCCTTCGCAAAGTCACCTGGAAAATTCCCCCGTCTTTCTGGGAATAGTAGTTTAAAGACCTTGCTCTTAACTAGGATGCGACATTGGGGCGCGCAAAAGAGACTACATCTCCCACAATTCAAGGCTGCCGCAGCACGGCGCAGGACCTCAGACACCCCCCGCGCCTGGCGCCTGCGCAGATACTGTACGTCGTTGGAGCGGCGGGAAAGTGGGGCGTTTGTGGCGCAATTGGTATTTTAGACCCTGAGGGGTTCAAGCGGTACTTGCAAAAGCCAAGTTAGTTGCAAATTACGTGTTCTTCTCATCCGTCTAGAGAGAACTCCACATAATGGGAAATACTCCCTTTGACTGTGGCCTTGCCATTCTGTGTGCGCAAATGATTTAGTGTTTGCGTTTCACTGTTATCAGAAAAACCGGACAGTAAACAGCCAGCAAGTGGAGATGAAGGGACGCCACTGCAAATCAGGCTCCGGTTTCCTAAACGATAAGCCGCGGACTTGCTCGGCGCCCCTGATGGCAGAATGTTAGGGGTGGGTAAAGAAGCCAAGCCCGGAAGTTTCTAGAAGCCCGCTCTTTGAGCCGAGTCTGGCGCGGTGCTGTCTGCGCACGCGCCAGGCCAGCGGAACTTTTCCCCACGTGCGCATGCGCCTAGGGGTGTGGCGACTAGGGGAATATCTTGGAACAAGCGTTCCTCGTTTCTGCCCTCGCGCAGTCCTGTGGTGAACGCCTGGTCTCCATGGCGACTGGACGCGGTCGGATCTTGCGACATCGCTGGCTGGGCCTCCAGACGCTGCGCGAGCCCAGCGCGGGCGCTGGCGTGGCCCCGGGGCGCTCCAGGGTCTTTGGGTTCAGGTGACTAGGGCCGGCGGGAAGCCCCTCACTGCGCGGCCCTGTTCTTTTCACTGTATTTTCTTCGTCAGGCTCGGGCACAAGGCCCGAGGCTCTCTTCAACGAGAGAAGGGTCTGGAAGAACGACCAGAGGAAATCCTTTGTACCCTGCAGCGTGGGGCACCCTGATTTATGACAGGGGTAGAGTAGCCTCCCAGGGAAATGTTGTTTTCTCCCGGCGCCTGCGCGGGGATGCGCTCACCTGTCAGGACAGGTGCAGGTGCCAAGAGTCGCTTCTCCAGGCTCCTGCCCTACATTCCCGGTGCTCCACCCCAGCCTTCGTATTTTCGCTCTTCTGTAACCAAGAATCTCCCTTCGTCTTTCTCACGACCGTGCAACGTAGGGAAGTAGAATCTGCTCAGGAAAACCTTTCCAGTGTACACCCCCGTCCCCCAAGCAGATACCTCTGGCAGGCAGTTTGGTTTGGGGAGTCGGGGGACAGCACTTTCTGCACCTCCGACGTCAGAGCCAGGTCTTGCTCAGCTCCCAGTCCCATTCTGCCTGTCTTCGGTCTAAATGCAGGAGCCTGTGGTGTTCTCGTTCTGCTCCCTAGAGGCTCCTCTCTCCGTTTTTCTTGGGGTTCCCTGGAAGTGAAGCATGGTCCTCTCCCATAGTGAGAGAGAAGGCAATTTTGAGGACTTAAATAGGAAAGGAGCAGGAGGCTGCCTCTGCTTTCCAGAAGCATCTTCAGCGTGAAGAAGTAAAACGTTCCAGTGCTTCAGAAGTATCAGCATGCATATTGGTACCTGATGAAATCCCTGTCCTTGTATCGCGAGCTGTTCCCTACCTATGTACCCACCACTGCAGTTAGTTTACCAGATGGAGGGATAATGCTAAGAATGGTTTACGTTCTTGAGGACTACCTTTGTGCTCGTAAGGCTCTTCGATTTCTAAATGTGGAAAGTCGTGCATATTTTGCCTTATAATAAACCAACAGTCCGTGTTTAAGCATACAAAGGGAGTCTGTTACATACTAGTTGAACTACCTGTTTTACCCCCCGCATCTGCAGAACTATGTCCTGTGTCGTCCCTAGGGCTCCATTACTTCCACTTACACAACCCCGTTGCTTAGTGCTATGATAATAGTTCTTGATTGAAAACCTATAATTCTAGACAAACCACAAGCCTTGTCACAGATAGAATGGTGACAGTGCCTGCAAAAATTCTTTTACGTAGGAGAGAAAGGAATTTAAATAGGAAACTTGAACTTTTAATCAATTTGCTGCTATTACTAAAATTAGTCTTTACATAGTGCTCTATTGGGGGAAGCAGAATGATTTTTATATGATGAATCTTTTATCCTTTGTAAATTGAGTGAACTTCCTGGTGGATTGATCTAATTAGAGGACCTGTCATTATGCCTGGCATGCGAATCTGCATTTCAAGCTGATTTGGAAATGTATGCATTATTTTTGGTAAAGAAAAGTCTGCTGTCAGAAATAGAATGATTTACTATGGTCAAAGCAGGTGGTTATTTTAATGTCTCGCTGTGGAGAATTAGATGTTTTTAAAGAATCAGCGTTCCCTTTTTAACACAAAACGTGAATATGTATAACTATCACAAATTGTAAGAAGTATAGCGGAAAGCATATTAAGTTGGGTTTATTTATACCTGGTGTAATTTATTTGATTTGCCGGATATTTACAATGAAGCACAGTCACTAGCTTTTTAAAATATTGGACTTATTCAAAACTATCAGACAAAAGCCTGTCACTTGACGTGTTTTCACATTAAATTTATCTTACTAAATGTATCAGCGTATGTCTATACTTAACCTTGTAGACATATAGATCTGCATAAAAACATAAAACTTGCTGATTTGTTAATTATATGGCCCTTAAAAATGTGCAGTTGGTTTATTTTATGGAGAAATAGAGATGTGTTTTCAATAGTGTTAACAGGTACTACACTGATGAGATGTATGGTTTTATACAAGATATGGTAAAGAGAACTCTGATAGGACCTTAAGGAAATGGGAGTCTCAGAGACTGTCTTTGCTTCTAGCTTCGGACCTTAAGTCCCTTTAGTTGTCTTGTTAGAGCCTTAGTCTTCTAAACTGAAAGGAAGGACTCTATGAGATCCATTTTAATTGTGAAAAAGCAAAACTGCAAGAAATAAGCTTTGAGTTTTAAAAGTGTGAAAACATGTTTGTAGCAGAATAGCCTTCATATTCCAGTTAAATAAAGGATGAAATGTCTTAGCACTTACACATTACCTTGTACAGAGTATATGATTAAGAAGTATTTGTAGAATTGAACTAACTAAGCCCTGTTAAATGTTTTAGTCAAAGATAGAGGCATATTCATTTGTTACTGAATTAGGGATTCAGATGAGGGAAAAGCATTTGGTACTTAAAAGTAGTAACTAGTACCAAACAGGATTTAGTTGCTTAATTATTATTTAAAACTGTCTTTGAGTAGGAAGCATTACAGTACGACTTTGAGGAACTTACTAAGATTATTTTATTTACCTATATTTTACATACATATTTACAAAACAGGTGACTTTATTGACATGTTCACAGTAATCTGTCATAAATTTGGGACATGCAAGCTAAGTTTTTCAGTAAGAACTTGTTGGCAGACTGAGCCGGTATGTATTCTTGCAACATCTAAGCACCCTGGCACTGTGCCTCTCAAACTTGTAGTTGTGGTGGTAACACATTTCTATGATAAGACAAATTATTTAGTAGAACACAATATTTGCTTTAATTTTTAAGATCACTTGAGAGACTTCTAAGAAGTTTTGGGTTTGCTGCAGACTGTACTTCCAGATTTCGGGGGACCTGGTTTCAGTTTCTTTGCAGGGGTGCTGTTACTAGGAATGCCTTTGAGAATCACGGCTCCAGTCTCAAGGGTTGTGCTTTCAAACTGTGATTCCCTGGCCTTCTTGTACTTGTGACTCTTAGTTTTGAAATTAAAACAACACCTCCCCCCAAACTTATTACAGATTCAATATGCTAAGAACAATTAGAAAATACATGGAGTTTTGCCCCTTAAATCCTCCCCATTTAAAAAAACCTTCACCAATAAATTTTATAATTCTGTGAATCAGATCTATTAACTGTTAAGCATTGTTTTCTCCTTCTAGACCTCTTTTATTTATATTCCTTATTTACTTTTCCTCTAAGAGAAATGCAAAAATAAGTTTACGTAGTGGGCAAAAACCGCAATTACTTTTGCACCAACCTCATACTGTAGACTAATACAACCTGCTTTCTCAGTTATACTGTTAGTGATTCAGCAGATATTTATTGAATGTTGCTCATATGCCAGGCATATTGTGGGTGCTGAATAATCAGTATACTTGTCCATGTAGTTCCAGTGATAATAAGCAAGACAGGAAAAATGTATAGTGTTGGATGGTGATGTGTACTAAGGAGAGAAACAGAGAAAGGGCACAAAGTGTGTGTGTGTGTGCGTGGCAGGGGGTAGGTCGGGGACTCGTTTGCAGTTTAAATAGAATAGCCAAGGAAGGTCTCAGTGAGATGGTGGCATTGTAAATGGCTGAAGAAACTGAGGGAGCAAGCCATATAGACACTTGGAGGACATCAGGGATCTATTTCTAATTCAAACACTTCACTTGGGTTGAAAATGTAGATTTTAGTTGACTAAGGATTGTTAACTCTATGGAGACAATGCAATTTAACCAATCCCTATACCGTTTTTAGTGTTTTTTTCCCCAGTGCAGACAACTCTGAGATGGACATTCTTGAGTGAACTATTTGCACAATTCTAGAAGTGGAATTCCTGGCTTAAAAGAGCATATGTGCTTTTTAAGGATCCTGGTTTCCAATATCAGATTTGGCTTTCCATAATGTTTATCGTACCACTGTATCTTGTCCTACTGGCAGTAAATGAGGATGCCTGTTTCTTTGTAACATAGCCAGCATGAATCATTATCATTTATTTGGTCTTTGCCAATTGCTAGATTGAAATTTATCCATCAGATTAATTTACTTTTTTTGTTTCTCTTGGAAAGGCATAGGGTAACAGTTTTTATCTCTCTGGCATCTTATTGAGGAAATATATAATGACTAAAAGCTGTTAACTGATTCAGTAAGATATTTAATATCTTGAATACATTTATATTTGATGATAATATTTATGTTTAAAGCATATGTATATATATAACTATTCATATAATGCTTAGGGTATGTATAGACTCAGACTTCTAGGCACAACCAACTCTTCATACTCTCATGGGCTTAAGGGTTACAGGTTTGGAGCTCCTGATAGGAATTATTATTTGACTGAGGAATGATAGAAATTCCCTTTACTTGAAGCTTAAGTGTTAGAAACCTTTGTCAATTGTAGATATTTTATCTTCGAATATGTACCATAAGTTAACATAGACTTTATAAGACTAATAACCATTTAAAAATAAGTCATGCTTTTAAATAATTTTAGAATGTATTACAAATTTTGTTTACTGTGTTGACTAATGACAGTAAAAGTTTATAATACCTTCTAAAGTTATTTATGTCCACCTGGAACCTCAGGATGTGACTTTATTTGGATATAGGGTCTCTGCAGGTATAATTAGTTAAGATGAACTTATACTGGATGAGGGAGGGTCCTAAATGTAATATGAATGATATCCTTATAAGAAGAGGCACAGAGACCGATATGCCCAGAGGGAAGGTTGCTTTGTGAAGATGGAGGCAGAGATTAGTTATGCAGATACAAACTAAGGGACATCAGAGATTTCTGGCAACCACCAGAAGGAGGAATGATCCTCCCTAGAGCCTGCAGAGGAGCATAGCCCTGTTGACAACTTGAGTTTGGACATCTGGCTTCTAAGACTTGAAACAATAAATATCTGTTCTGAGTCACCCAGTTTGTGAAGGCAGTCCTAGAAGTGAATGCAATTAGGAAATTATATTTTAATTCTGGTAAGTATATTAGGACCACATCAGTGGAGTCTAAGCTTTTCTCCTGTGGAAATCTGTTTAAACAAAATTTCCAACAGAAATACAAAATATATAACACAGGTAGAATTATCTGATTAGAGGAGGAGAGGGTAAAATTTCCAAATTAGCATTTCTACCTGTCCTTTCTCCCTGTCTTCTTGCCCTGCAGAGCACAGATTGAAAACCATCGGCTAGAAATTCATGTAAGACCAAAAGTACATGGAGCACCTTTCACTGAAGCTGGGATAGAAAGACGTGGAGCCAGCATTTTTTTCCTCAGTGCTTTTTTTTCCTCATTTTTTCCTTTTTACTTTCCAGGATCTGGAAAGTTTATTTTATGCAACTTATTTTTTGTTGAGATGCCAGTGAGGCAGATGATCACTAATATTTATGGAGGTCCTACCCTGTTGCAGCTACTGTGCTTTTTTCTAAAGAGAAAAATCTACCAAGATTTCACTCTGTGGCTTCTCAGAAGCATGTGGGGAACTGTGCCTGTTGAACAGGGCAGGCAGGTGCCAGTGGGTGATTTGAGCGCCTACTGACATATGCATATCTTGATGACATCTTGAGGTAGGCTACAGGCTACACTGTCACCTGGCCAGCTTAGGCCTAGGGCAAGGGCTCCTTTTCACTGCTTGTGGCATCTAATAGGTTGTGCTCAGAGTTGGGCCATGCTCTGTTAAGACTGGTTGTGTGTGGAGTTCATACTCCAGCTTTCAGGGGGTGGGTTAATTATCCTTCCTTCCAAGTTCTTAGGACACCTCTTTTTTGCTCCCAGTTGTTGCCTTCCTATATGAGTGTTCTTTCAAATATATCTGGGGAATTGGCTTGGTATGAAAAACTGAGGGCGGTTAAACTATCAGTGCACAAAATATACATTCGATGCAATGGTGTTGGTGAACTTAGTGTATAGATAATGTAGTCTCTAGGTTTTAGCCACTTCTTAAGTAGCATACCAGGTAGGAGATGGGTCAGTAACCAATACCTGTGTGTTGTGCATTGCTTAAAGCAGAAGCTTCCAAAGCTTGCCTAGAGAAATAGTGTACCGACTCATGGTTTTCCGGGTGGGCACTGCCTAGACATGCAGGCTGTGAGCTGTGCGATTTCTGGTGTTTCGGTTCCCTCAAGGGGCTGTTGAGTACTCCTGGTTTTGAGGACTGATTTTAATAAAGTTTATTGTAGAAACCTCTGAAAAAGACTCACTGCATAAAAATGTTATATGCTATTTCATTGAATCTAAAAAACCATTGATTATAAGATACACTACTATTTTCTATAACACTAAAATAAAAAGATGGCCAATGAAAATATATTGCATTGAATGGGAGAAGTTAAAATGTAAAAAAGTTTGTGGATGAGTATTTGGTAGTTTGCCTGTGACTGCAGAAGCTAGAGTTTGAACCCTCAAAGATCAGAAATGTCGTAGATTATGTTGACAGTTCTAGTTCACTAATTTTAAGTTTTAAAAAATAATCTTTAATGGTTTCTGGTATATCCAAATTGGCCAATCAATACATTAAATTTATCATTTTTGTTTCCATTTAATGTATTTGATATCACCTCTTTGATATGTTGAAACCTTTAATGAGAGTGTATGTTTCTAAACCTTAGGGTGAAAGCACATCAGAGTAAGTACGGTCTTCTGGTTTCCCTACCAGGACACTAAAGTTTTCATTGTCTCTTCCTCCTCCTTCCTTTTCTTCCTTCCTTATCAACTTACCTGAAGTTTTTCAATGAATAATCTTTGGAGCTTATGAATCCTTTGGAATTTTGTAGAAGGGAATAGATAATTCATGTTATTTGATAATTATATAATTTGATTTTCCCATATTTACTTTCAGAAAGGGGCCAGGGGTCAAGTTTTCTGCAGGCTCTGCTGCCCTGTGGTGCCATGGCAGAGATGGGCAGCATTGGGAGAGCTCTTTCTCTTGCTATTCTGGGCTCCTGGATAGGTAAGTAGCAGAAGTAGACTGTCACTTTTGGGGGCCTCTAGGCATGGGGTTATTAGAGAAAGTTATGATGCTGTATATACCAAGTTGCTATTTTGAGCTTGCTAAGAATAGGGATGTGTAGGAAGACAGTACAGCATGGAGTGTTTGATGAGTCATGGGCCTGTCACCACTATCCTTATGAAATGAGCTTTATGAAACGAAACTTCAAAAAGTGACAAGTAATTTGAATTTTCCTTTTATTAAAATGTTCTTCAAAATTATTCACTTTTGAGTTGATAAAGACCCTTGAAAAAGGAAAAAGAAGATTAAAGAGTGTTTTCCTGAAAGCTCAAGAGCTGTGTTCATTTCTCAGCTTTCAATGTCTGGAAGCCCATTTGTCACGGCAAGATTCTGTACTGTGACTCTCAGCACGAAGATCCATGGAAACTTAAAAAAAATTTTTATGTGTAATTGATGCTGATAAGTCCATAGATTTGTTCTGTAGTAACATTTATGGAATACCAGTTATATGCTAAGCCTCGTGGGGAACCTGAAAGCTTGAGATGATCACAGAGAGACATTTTACACTGTAGGAAGCTAGGCCCACGTAGTCTGCATATTGCAGAACTGTATGATTCAGACATAAGTTGCTGGATTTCAAGTTCTGGGCTTTTAATAATGTATTATAGCTATCGCAGCTAACAGTGTACATGTTTATATATACATGTCCCTGTATTTTAAAAAAGAAATTAAAAGCCAAAAAGGATATTTAATTAAGGACATTAATTTCAGCTTAAAATCCTATGCTCTGGGAATAGGCTGTCTTACAGTCATCTGATATGAGAAACGGAGCAAATATTAATTTGGTTCATCCATCCATTAAATATTTGAGGATCTACTCTGTAGCAGATACTGTATTTGGTGCTGGGACACAAATGGTGAGTCACTTACATGTTCTCATGAAGCTGATGATCTAGTCAGGCAGATTTAAAATACAGCAAATCATAATAAGTTGGGTTATCTGTTGTCAAGAAAACAAATGGATCCTCAAATCCAGAATAATGGGGTGGCATGGTAAGCAAGACTTACCTAAGGAGGTCCATTTAAGATGAGATTCAAGAGCTTTGAGAAGAGCTTGCCAGTGAGTAGAGACCAGAGGTGTGGAGGTGGGGGATCCAGATGCTTGCAGGAACAGGGTGGTGGTGAGGGAGCACATCAGGTGGGGCTTCCAGGCTCTGGGAAGGAGTGTGGACGTCATGTAATTTCTTAGATTATCTTGTTTACTTGTTTACCTGTCTTCTCTAGAAGTAGGGAAGACAGAGAGACATAGGCAAGTGGGAGGTATGTTTGGAGACGTAACTGACATGATTTGTTTATGAATTAGATGTAGGGAAACAGACAAGTAGGAATTCGAAGCTGTTGACTGAAGCAGTAGTACAGGTTGAGGTGCTGTTGGCTGAAAAGGAAGGGAAGTGGGGTTCAGGCAGAAGAGAGGGCTAATTTTAGTAGAGAGGAGGTCTCACTACGTTGCCTCACTATGTTAGACTGGTTACAGCTGAGGGTCTGGCATGTGTGCAAAGGAGGATGCCAGATGGATGATGGATGTGTCAGTCTGGCTCAGGATGAGACTTGGTGAGGTAGGCAGTCATGGAGCTGGGTGAGGTGGCTTAGGGAGAGGGCGGGGAAAGGAAAGCAAAGACAACTCAGGAACAAGCTTGGAGGACCTGAGGCAGTGAGAACCAACCAAGCAGGCAGGGGAGAGCCCTGAGTTCCAAGAAATTGAGGAGAGGGTGTTATATGAAGCAGAAGAGGACAGAGCCTGAGACACAAGAGCAGTCAGTGACCTGCGGCCTGGGGAGGTGAGGGGAGGAGGCAGCAGGGTGTGTTGGATCCTCAGAGTATTGCAGGTGAATACAAAGGAAGGGACTGGCCAGTCATTTTCATATTTACATGTGTTCTATTCTACACTGAAATGCAAGAAGCAAAAAAGTAGGGGCAGGGAGGTGGAGGCAGCAGGTGTAGACAAGTATTTGTTTTTTTTTGTTCTTTCCCAGAGCTTGGCAGTGTGAGGGAGCCTAGAAATCAGACTGTGGCTCCAGAGAGATTGGGTTGGGGAGAAGCAAAGGAAGAGTATGGTTTCAGGATGAGAGATTTGGGGTGATTCAGAGGCTGATATGAACAGTGTGGAAGAAGGAGGCAGGAACTGGAGGCTGAAGATCTTGTGCAGAAACTGTGGGGACCTAGAGCACAGGTGCTTCCATGGGAGGAAGTGAGCATTCTCCATTAGAACGTGGGAAGAAAGTGGGAAAAGCAGGAATATTGGGATTGATTCACAACATGAGGCAGGGACAATGACATCTTTACATTTGAATTACCGTGATACTGAAAATGAATACACACAAATTAACATTCTTAGGGAAGCTAATTGGTTTAAAGCATTTTCTTTGATAAACATTTTAAACTTCTTTAGTGGTCCTGCGTCTCACGCCCTCTTTCCTTCTGTCCCTGTCATTCTACACTGAAATGTAAGAAGTGTCATTCTACACTGAAATGTATTATACAACGTGAAATAACTAGAATCCAACAGAAAGTAATCCAACATGGGTATAAACATTGATTGTACCTGGTTAGAAGAAATTGTGTGAACAATGATTAAGAATGTAGTCAATCTCCACTATCTTAATTATAAAGTAGAGATTTTCTCCTTTTGTTAGGACACAGAGAGAACCCCTTTTTCACTAGGTTAGTCCAGCCAGGAGGAAGGTAAAAACCTCCTGAGTTCCGGTCTTAAATGGGATTTTATTCCAGTTAAATAATTCTGGTGGTTTCTTGATACTTTTCTCAAATGTCTTTAAGCCCAGCTCTGTTTTTTTTTTTTAAATTGTACTAATTAAATATATAATAGGTCCGAAGTTTTGTGAAATAGTTAAATGAAAACAAAAATTATAGGTAACGAATAATCCAAATGTTCACAGAAGTATGTTTTCTTGCAACTTTGGTGTCTTTGCCATTAGAGACTTTTTCTCATTGAAATTATCTAATTTATTGACTCTGAATGGGTGGGGTTTTATTTGGGGGATTGATTTAATTAATGTTTAAACAAAGCTTTTGTTTAAACTCTCAAAGTCTCTGGCTAACTATAGCTAGAGCTTTGACACTTACATGGTGATACATATTCAATAGGCATGGCGTTAACTGTCTTTTTCCTGAGGATCTATTTTATTTCTTCTCAGTATTATCAAAATTTTTGGACTGATTATTTTCCTGTGAAACACCCAGTAATCTGGATTCTCTTGAAAAATAAACAAATTTAAAATTATAACAATCACAAGTACAGAGTATAGGCAAGCCCTTTTAAATTGGGTAATAGGTGTCTCCCCCCCAATTCCTTTATCCCTAGAACTGCCTCGCACCCCCAGCGCTTGACACAATTTGTGGTAGCTCTCTTGTTACTTGTCCTTTTGCTGAAGATTTATAGAGGCCCACTCCTGACTTCTTGACCCTAGTGATACTTTCTAGTCATTTTCAGATTTTTACTGTGTTTTATAGAATTCTGAGATCATAGAAATAGGTGGAATATTGAGACTACATCTCAATATCGTATTTAGACATATATATGAAACAGACACTTCAGAAAAATTTATGGCCCTTAGTGTCTCCTTGAAGCCCCAGAGGAAGCAGTCAAAAGCCTGAGGGTGTTCGGAAGGCGGTGCCTGGATTTGGTGTGGACGAGATGGGAATTAGCTGATATTTCCCATTTTACTTACTTTTTTAGGGAAAGGGATTCTGTGTTTTTCTTATTAATAGCTAAGAATGTGTTCTCTGATTGTCTTTTTATCTCAATAAAGAAACATATGTAGTTTAGGCCAGGTTTGGTGGGCAACATGGTGAAACACCACACAAAATGAGCCAAGCGGACATGTGCCTGTAGTCCCAGCTGCTGGGGAGGCTGAGGCAGGAGAATGGCTTGAACCTGGGAGTTCTAGGCTACAGTGAGCCCGATCATGCCACTTCATTCTAGCCTGAGTAGCAGAGCAAGACTCTTTCTCTACGAAAATAATAATAAAAAATACGTAGTTTCATGGGGCATACTGAAATCCTGCCTGTTGATTCACAGTGTGTGAACATGATTAAAATGCTGAGGAAGTTAGCTCTTCCAACCCTTGGCTCCATTTCTGGTTTATGTCATGAGAATTAGAATAACCAGAAAATTTCAATAAGGAAAATAATTGAAGATGAGGGTACAGTTTGCCTCTTGTACAGGAGTCTGTTTATGACCTGTTTACAGATGAGCAGCCAGTTATTTTCTGGGTGATCTGTAGATTAAGTCCTGGTTCACTCTGGTGATTTATTAATTTTTTCTCTTTTTGCAGAATGCCTTCAGAAATCTTGCTGAAGATATTTTCCTACTTGGATGCTGTGAGCCTGCTGTGTACTGGATGTGTGAGCAGGCGCTTTTATCATCTAGCCAATGACAAGTAAGCAGAAATCCAGGTCTTTGTTATGTTTTGATGACAATTTGATGGAAGTCAGGAAAACTAGTAAGAACTTTTTAACCATTTTTAAAAATTTAAGAGAATTCAAGAGTATTTTTACACACAAGTGGAAATATGGAATGCTTTACTATGAAATTTTCAAATATTTGTATTTATATGCTTAAAGGAATGTACTCTGCAAGGACCAAAAAGATCAAACTTATCATTGCTGTAGCTGTTGGAGAATGCAGCTTCAGGTCTGTTGCCAGGAGGACTTGTCTGTGTTCCCCCCAGAATCAGACCTAATCACAGAGTCTCAAGCAGCACGTGCAGGGACTGCTGGCTTTGACCCTGGCCCTGTGTTTGCAGATAGAATGAGTGTTCTCTGCTGATGGCCAAGTAGATCCTAAAGAAAGAAAAGGAAGAGGCTAAGTTAGGTGTATTTAGCTCCTCCTCCCAAACATGCCAATCAGGTTAACTTACTCTGTGGGGAAAGTGAAATGGACTGAGAGAAGCCAAGACTGTCCTCTCCTGGAGGCTGTACCCTTGGAAGCAGGGAACCAGAAGAGAGGGTTTCACCTGCGCTCATCTGGGCTTGCAGGGGTGTCTAGGAACAAAGGAGAACAAACATCTCCTTCTGTTTGTCATTATAATTGTAGCCTGCATCTCAGAATTATATCTTGAAGGGAGAGATGGTGAAATCCTCCTGATTTTCAGTGAGGATTTTGTGGCCTACAACAGAACATCTTGGCTTTTTAGGCCCCTCTCTTATTTATCTTCAAAAGATGAGACAAGTATCCTTCTCACATAAAACCTGCATGTCAGCTGGGGAGGTCAGCAAGATGAGAGGGAATGCAGATTTTAACTGGTGGGTTTGTTTACTAGGTAAGGAGATGGAGAATGGCAGAGGAGGGCTGTCGTATTAGTTAACCCGGGAACATAGTGGGCAAGAATGTCACTTTGGTGCAGTGGTTCTCAAATGCCATCCTAAGAAGACTACATATGAACCACTTGGGAAAGTGTAAAAAATTTCCATCCCTAGTTGGCATTTCTAGAGGTTATATTTTAGTGCTCTGAAATCTGCATTTTAAAGATTCTCCAGGTCATGCTAGCGAATAGTCAAGTTCTGCAATGACTCATCTCATCCGTCTTTAATGTTAGGTGTATGCCTCTTAAGTGAGGAACTCAGAATAAGCCCTCAGATCTTATTAAAGCTGTCCTCAACCATTCTCTTGCTCTCAAGTGGACATGCACTGTTCCCTGGTTGGAAAGGGTGATTTTTCTTTCAATTAAGGAGATGTTTCCCGTATGGAAGAATATGTGTCTGTCTGTGTCAGTACATGCACACACACGCACATCAATGAGTGAAATAATCATGGTCTTGACAGTAGTTATAGAATGAATTAGAGCAATTTTTACATTTCTCTTTCTCACTGATTGCTGTATTTACGTAGTTGGGATTTGTTTTTTTCCCCAAGCCTCATGTTGAAATTTGATCCCGAGTGTTGGAAGTGGGGCCTTGGGAGGCCTTTGGGTCACCAGAGCAGATCTCTCCTGAATGGCTTGGTGCCTTCCTTATAGTTGTTGCTTTAGAGCTGGTTGTTAAAAGAGTGTGGCAGGCCTCCCTCCCTTCTCTTGCTCACTCACTCCCTTTTTTTTCTCTCTCTCTCTCTCTCTCTGCCTTGTGATCTCTGCACAGTTGGCTTCCCTTGGTCTTCTGCCATGATTGGAAGCTTCCTGAGGCTTCGCCAGAAGCAGATGCTGGTGTCGTACTCCTTGTACAGCCTGCAGAACTATGAGCCAAATAAACCTTTCCTTTACAGATTACCCAGCCTCAAGTATTTCTTTGTAGCAACACAAAGGGACTCAAACGATCTAAAAAGAGATGAAGGTGGTCACTAAAAGAAAGCACAGCAAGGCATTTTTCAAGGAAGGAATCAACTAAATGTCTAAAACTGTAGCATTCTGGAGGGTTCTTACTTTATTTATGGTCAGAACTCAGACTTCAGATAAGCTGATAAATTATGTATTTCTTAGTTTCTTTACTGTCTCCCCTCTCCATTTCACCTGCATGGTGAAGAAACTGGGCCTTTAATCGGATGTGGAGCATGGTTCTAGTGATGCTTTTTGCATCACTAGATTACTTATGTGCCCTCCTCTCTTTCTTGGAAGTTGTCATTGGGAAACAGGAGTTTCTGATGAAATTGCACTCACATTTCTTTTGTTTTTTGAAGGACATATCTAAATTGTGCTAAGTTGCATTGTACTTTTTAGTTCTAGCCAAAGCCAAAGTCTGATCATAAAGTCAAACTACATAAAAGGATGTGTGGTAATTGAATGAGTAATTGATAAGTGTTTTTGAAAAGTTGAAGTAGATACTAAATGTTGCTTCTGAGGAGAGGGCAGGCACACATAGTATAGTGAGTTACACTGATCACTTATTGGAAGACAGGCTTAAAGGGCAAGGGACACCCCAGTGCTCCATCCCAGTGATGGGGGCTGCTCCCTTCTGTGTGAGCACTGGCCTCTGCGTGGAATTAACAGGGATGTGTGGATGCGGTGGCATCTGGTTTATCGCAAGGGGGTTTTATTTGCTATGTACTCTGGGAAACACTATTTATCTAAACATTACATTGGCCCCATTTTCTGAACAACTTGTTAGAAGTTTCCCTGAGCCCCTGATTGGTAGTCATATTAGATAAATATGCCCTTGTCCTCTAATCTGACTAGGCCTTCTAACAGGGTGGAGCATTTGGGGATCGAGAGGTAAATGTGTTTGGGTTTTGGAGACTGTGAAAAGCATCTGAACCTTAACATTTGTGTATTATAAAAAATCAAGAGCATCACCTGCAATATAAAATGTTTTTACTTAGGTTTACTTATGGTTAGTAATATATGATCTTGTGTATGAGCATAGTTCATCATACGAATATTTAGATGTGGTTATTGTTACTAAATACATGTGGAGTTTATGCTGTGATTCCTCTCTCTGTTGCAGTGTTTGTTTTTGCAGTTTGTAAGTGCTAGCACATGTAAAAATAGTATCAGTGGTGGTTTAGGTAGTGCTGATGTGAGGAATTCAAGGCTCCATAAAGATCCTGCTAAAGGACACTTAAGTAGAGTGAGATGCTGAGTAAAATAAATTTGAAGAAAACACAAGCAAGCTTTTATGCAAAGGGAGTTTTAAAAATGTCTATTCAAAGGATTTTGGTGAAAGAGTTTTAGCTTTACTTAGGGGTGGTCAACTAATTAGTGTATTGCATCTATCCACTTGCATAGGAAAGTCCAGAAATTTCTGAATTGAAAATACAGACACTTTAAAAGCTGATCATGAAGTGATTTTACAGGGTGAGAAATGACTTGAGAAACTCATACTAGGAAGACTTGTCAACCAGGGTCTGACTATATGTGAGCTTCTGTTTGGTGGGAAGTTCATGTAATGTCTGAGTCAAGGAGGTGGCATTCTGAAGTCATGTGTTTGAGAAATGGTCCTTTTCGGCTATGGTTAAGGAAATAGCTCTGCCTCCCCAAAGCACCCAGGCTTATCCCCAGGGGTCCTGCTGCAGTTCAGGACCACGGCTCTGTGGAGGAATCACTTTCTCCCTGCAGCCTCCAGGCCATTGACTGCTTCATTCCATGCTGCTCTTAGTAGTAATGTGGAGACATAAATGGGCAAATCGTTAATTTTTAAAATGCAAAATTTGGCTTTCAGATAAGGAATTGATTTTAACCCCTGCCTCAGTTTTTCCTGTGTCTTTCTTCTCTTCCCTGGTGAAGAGTACTGGCTCAGAGGGAAGAGTCCTCAGCTCACTGCCACTGCTCATGGGACTTCTCAGCCTCTTAGCAGAGATGAGTGGAAGGAACAGACTTTGAGTCAGAGCTGAGTTTGAATTCCCACATTGAGGCTTATTATATGGCTCTCTGAATTTGGGGAGCTTATTCAGTTTCTTTGATCCACTTCTTTGTGATTGAAGAGGCAGTGAAACTCAGGTGATAAAAGAGTGTGAGCTCTGGTTCAGATCCCAGCTTTAATATAAACTTGAGCGCACAGACCTCGGCCAGGTTGTTTTGCATCTGAGCCTCAGTTACAACATCTGTGCATTGGCGACAGGAATAGCAGTGCCTCCTGGTTTCTTTATGAGAAATAAATGAGTAATATGTAATACATAAATTGCTTAATTGCTTATTAGCAATTTACAATCAATTATCATTAAACAATGCTTAACACATAGTAAGTGCTCAAAAAACTTATATTGACTATTGTTTAGTTGTTACCATTAATAAACTTCGCTTTTTTGCTCCTTCTGAAAGCATATTTTTTGTTGAAAGTTAAAAAGCAAAAAAATGTACAATTCTGTTGTTCACTATTGAAATTTCTTGGTGTGTGTACATATATCCTTTCTGATCTTTTTAAAAGCATGTATATATTTAAAAACAAGAATCATACTACTTATACTTTCTTTTAAAATAATAGATTTCCTATTCCATTACTGATGTAAGAGGGCAGTGGTTTGGATGATCCTAAATGACATGAGAATTATTCACTTGAGAGTTGACCCTGGGAAATGGGCTTTTCCTGTTTTTTAAATGTGTTTTTGGTGGTGTTGAATTTAAAACACTAAATCTCAAACTGCAATTCACTTCAACAGATGAACAACTGTAAATATGCTTGACCTATTTATGGAATTGGATTATTTGAAAATATGCATTCTAATTTGAGATATAACTACAGGCAGGTGACAATGTCTCTAATTTAACACATTTCTTCTTTCCCCTCCAGTTTTATTTGGATCAGAATCTACTCAACTGCTTTTTCATCTACAAGATCAAATCGGAAAGTTAGTTCAGTACAGAAGATAGCTACGTCTATGAGCTTTCTGTCAGTTCAGAATAAAGAAGCTGGTTATTGGAAGAAAGAATATATCACAAAACAAATAGCATCTGTAAAAGCTGCACTAGCCGACATTCTCAAACCTGTTAACCCTTATACAGGCCTTCCAGTTAAGACCAAAGAGGCCCTCAGGTACGCAGTGTGTTCTTGAACAGTGGACACGGTGGTTACTTGACAGTACTCTAAAATGTTTGTTTATAACCAAAAGAGAATGATGGTATCAGCTCAAAGTATTGTGTACATAGGACATATGTGCAATTTAGATTGTGTGGGACTGTCTCTCTAGTATTTCTGTGTATCTATAAAGTATGCAGCATTTTCCTCTTCCACATAGCCTTCTGCATTTGCTGATTCAACCAACTGCAGATCAAAAGTATTTGGGTGGGCGGGGAGGCGGGTGGTGGGGTGGGAGGGGGGAGGAGGAACCTGAAACAATAACAGTATAAAAAAGAATACAAATAAAAACCAATACATTATAAATAATAACAACAGTTTGCACAATATTTACATTGTATTAGGTATTATAAGTAATCTCGAGATGATTTAAAGAGTACAGGAGGAGGTGTATGAGTTATATGCAGATACTATGCCATTTATGTAAGGGACCTGAACATCCACAGATTTTGGTATCATGGGGGCCCTAGAACCAATTTCCTGCAGATCCAGAGGGATAACTAGTAAATAGCCTAAAGTTTTCATGAAAAGCAGAAGTAACGTACTTATCTGCTTTAGTACAGTAAGAGTGTTCAAGGTCTCTTCTGGGCAGAACTTTTGTCTTATTTATATATTGCCAGTACCTGTAAGATCATGGATGTTCAGGAGGTGTTAGGTGAGGAGAAAAAGTCTAAAGAGAATACCGTTGTTGAAATGAACATTGTAATGGGCATGTTCTGAGAACTTGGACTTTGGCTTTTAAGGATCTAGATGCTTTAGAGGAGATATGTGAAATTGCCTTTAGCATTTTTTTTTCAATGAAGCAAACATTGCTAGCTTGCTTTCTTTTCTCCAGAATATTTGGTTTAGGTTGGGCAATTATACTGAAAGAAAAAAGTGGAAAAGAACATATCATGGAGCATGTGGATCTTTCCATAAATGACACCTCAGTTACTGTTATATGGTATGGCAAAAATTGGCCGTGCCTAGCATCATTGTCAACTTTAGATTTATGTGGTGTGACACCAGTTTTTATGGACTGGTATAAAACTCCCACCAAACATAGGTAAGTACCAATCATCAGAACTGTTGAGTGAGAGCATCTTATATGTAAATATTACTTGGCATTACTTTTGTAATTAAAAAATACCAGCAGCACTTTTTAATTTTATCACATATTAAATGTACATTCTGCATCACTGTAGAAGAGGAAAAGTGTACATTTTATCACATTTCTGATTAGGTCTAAATTTAAGTTCCTCGTATCTTGGTTGTCTTTAATGGTAGGGAATGATATTCTAGTTAACGAAATTTTCTGAATGATTGTTGGCTAACCTTTGAGGTTTTTCATTTTAACTAGCTTAGAAAAATATATGATATCTTCCTTCTTTAGTAAATGGTATACTAATCATCGTCTAAATGTGAGGAAACCAAGTGATAATTAATAGTTATTTTTTCTGCCTTCTATTGAACTTACTAGATATGTGATCCTGTGCAAGTAACTTACTCTTTCTGTGTCTCCTTTCTCTCCTCCGTAAAATGAGACGATTGTTACACTGGTGTAGTATTTAGCATATATGACTGCAGTGAACAATATCAATCAAAAGGTATCACTGTAATATGCATAGAACAGCTAAGTGTGCAGCACATGGGTAATGCTTAGTGAGCACTTGACTATTCTGTTGTCAGGTGGCTTTGCACTGAGTTCATATTCACTAGGAGGCTGGCATCTGCCTTTCTGGGCAGATCTCTCAGGTTCTCTTTTTCATCACTGATTGCTTCCTTTTAAAAGCTGGATTATGGCATGCATGCATAGCATCCTCATCTCTGGAGCAAGCTAACATAGCTTTATATAAGATATATTGCAAAAGTAAAGGTAATACCTGCCTTCTTCCATGTTGGTTTCCTGCCCTCCTGTCTCCTTCACTGTCTCAGTGTCCTTTGACTTTTCAGGAGTATTTACTGTGTTGTTTTCTTACCATCTTTGCATGCTGCAGTTCCACCCATTGGTTTCTCGCCCGTCTGTCCTCACTATGGAGGATACTGCAATATCTGACATTAGTGCCTGCCATGTCCATGGAGGGTCAGGGTTCTTTCATGGTTTCTCTGGATACGGACACTTTTTTTTTTTTGCAGCTCTATAACTGGAGACTTTGTTTTGGCTCCTCTCCATGGTGCCTGCTCTTTGAGCACTGTTTTAGTGATTACTGATCTCCCTTTCCATGTTCTGAATGTAAGACTGTTCAGACCCCTTAGTGCTGGCAAATCCAGGTTTTATTGTAATCTAAAAAATATTCTTAATGTTGTGATGAAAAATGAATTATTTTTCCTGAATATGTTACTGAAGATACTTTTGAAACAGTTACCTTTTTAAAAATGGTACTTTTATTTGAATAAATCTTTGAAATTTCATATGGTATCATAAAGGAAACCAGCTTTTTCTAATGTCGCAGTTAGGGTTTATTCATTTCAAAATTATATTTGGAGAATAACTCCACAAACTGTACTAGTTTTGCTAAACAGTATATGTTACTTCGCATATCATGAAATGTTATTTACAGATACTAGGACAAAATAATTAACAGTAATTCAAATGATCCTGAAGAATTCAGTTAAAAGGATAATGTTGAATTGCAAAGCCCAGTTAAAGACAGTATGTCCCTGAAATTGTCATCAAGGTCAGAAGTAATGGATACTACATAGTGTCAAATGCTGGAATTCATTGGGAAAATTCATTTAATGTAATTTATTTCTGTGAAATTTCAATGGACTTCAGCCAGCCTTTGATATACTATGATACAAAGAAACCCCAAAAAACGAAAAGTGTTTTTTAGGAATTTATTTTGATTGGCACTTTTGTTGCAAGTTTGTAGTGAATGCTTTCATTATGCAGGAATAGAAATCCTTGTATGCATCTGTGTGACAGCCAAGAAGAGACTTTGTGATTTTTATTTGGGTCTTTTTTGTTTTCTCTATAAGAAGTTTCTCAACAACAGTGAAAGCTTTATCTATATAATTTGGATTTCCCTGTAATTTATACCTTTCTAGTCAGACTCTAAATTTTCATCCTTGCCAGCATTTTCTATTCTGCAGCTGGTGCTGTCCCACTCTAAATTTGTAAGAACTGTTGAGGAAATGTCAGCCTTAGTTTCTGTGTCTGTGGCTGTAAGGCCAAGCACGTGAGGACTCAGTACGTTCTGAGTCTATTTAATAAACACCTGTACAGCCAGATTTTGAGAGAAGAGGGTTTCTCACATGCCTACCCAGCCTCCTGTATTCACATTAGTGATGATACTAGCAGCGACTGCTATTTATTGAGCACCTGCCCTGTGTCCTGTGCTCTCATCCCTGCTGAGCAGGCTAGGGATCTCACTCACAAAGAACCAGCTGTGATAGTCACGAAGTCATTGTAGATTGAAGCTAAGGTTTTACCTCAGGTTTCCCTGACTCCATCCTGAGGTTCCAGACCCTGCATTTATCTTCCTCCAGTGTATTCTGCATATGCTGGGTTTATTTTTAATATATACATCACACACACTGACCGTCTCTCCTTATCCAATTGTGGTTCTCTGCACAAGAAGTTCTTTTGAAAAGTTGAACATGGGTCTAGGGTCATGTGGTAGCCGCTGATTTGGTTTTGACGCCTCACAGTCCCTTCCACTTTGAAACACGACTGCAGCTGGTCTCCTTTTGAATTCGCTTATTTAATGTACCTATTGCCTGCTGGCTTGTGCCTGAGGTGCTGGGCACCAACTTTTGAATGAGATGTGGCCCCAGCTCCTTAGGGATTTCAGTGTAATGCTGTGTTAGTGTCTCCTTTGTGAAAACACTGGTGATTTAGTTTATTTCTAATGTGTCAGCTTTCACTGTCTCTGAGTTATCCTTGATAATAACTTTAAAAGGCCCAGCTGCTTTGTGACCACTTCCTGAGACTACCTGTTCTTATGTCACTTGAAATAATATATCTTTGCTTTTGTGTCGTTTCACTCAGTTGACTTGGAATACACATTGAGAGTCTACTTTAGATTGTAGTATTGTGCTGGGTTTGGTAGGAATAGAACAGGAGACAGTTCTGCCACTTCATCACTTTCGTGTTACTTCATTTTCCTTCTGGCTAGGTTGAGTTGATGGCAAGAGCAAGGTGGAAGGGAAGAAAAACCTAGCTGGGTCGGAAATCTGAATGTATCAATTTTGCCATTTATTCATTTGTGTCCCCACCCTACCAATGTGCCCCTTAGTTTGAGCACATCATTAACATGCTCTTCAGTTAACATTTGTGATACACATTTGTGATGCAGAACTGACAGCTCTGGAGACAGGAAAGCTCACTTCTCTCTCTCCTTCCCTTGGCATAATATTCAAAGACTCCGATGGCATTCTTTAATTGCAAAGTACAATTTGAGTCATTTGACTGAATCTACCATGATTGGCTGTGACAGACTTATTCGGATCTTCTGCCTGCACCCTGGCCTCCTGGTTGGACTCTGGAAGGTAAGACTTGAGTCCCTGTATGTACTGTGTCATTTCGCCATCACAATGCCATGTTTACTTGTCATTATGTATGACATGAAATGTAAAATTCTTTAAGGCTTTTCAGTAACTGCAATCCGTTTACCATCTCACTAACTTCATTTTTTCAAGCTAACATGGCCCTTTCTGTTCCCCTGAGGCTGCTCTGCTGTTCTGCTATCATAAAAACCAAACCACTTCTTCCGGCCTTCATGTTTTTCTTCATGTTATTCCTTTAATGTCATGTGATGTTGCCCCTTCCAGTCAGTCCACGTTCCTTCTTCTCTTCCTTCCATGCTCTTTCTCTGATGTCTCCCTTTCTTTCTTTCTTTTTTCTTTGCAAGATACCTAGACCCTATATTTTGTCTCTACATTTTTTTTTTCTTTTCTTATTGTACTATAGGTTCTGGGGTACATGTGCAGATCTTGCAGGATTGTTGTATAGGTACATATATGGCAAGGTGGTGTGCTACCTCCATCCTCCCGTCACCTATATCTGGCATTTCTCCCCGTGTTATCCTTCCCCAACCTCCTCACCCCCCGCTGTCCCTCCCTTAGCACCCCCCTGCAACACACCCAGTGTGTGATGCTCCCCTCCCTGTGCTCATGTGTTCTCATTGTTCAACACCTGACTATGAGCAAGAACATGCAGTATTTGATTTTCTGTTCTTGTGTCAGTTTGCTGAGAATGATGGTTTTCAGATTCTGATGGTTTTCAGATTCATCCATGTCCCTTCAAAGAACATGAACGCATCCTTTTTTATGGCTGTGTAGTATTCCATGGTGTATATGTGCCTCATTTTCTTTGTCTAGTCTATCATCGTTGGGAATTTGGGTTGGTTCCAGGTCTTTGCTATTGTAAATAGTGCCACAGTGAACATATATGTGCATGCGTCTTTTTAATAGAACGATTTATAATCCTTTGGGTGTATACCCAGTAATGGGATTGCTGGGTCAAATGGAATTTCTATTTCTAGATGCTTGAGGAATCACCACACTGTCTTCCACAATGGTTGAACTAATTTACACTCCCACCAACAGTGTAAAAGTGTTCCTATTTCTCTACATCCTCTCCAGCATCTGTTGTCTCCTGATTTTTTAATGATCACCATTCTAACTGACATGAGATGGTATCTCAATGTGGTTTTGATTTGCATTTCTCTGATGACCAGTGATGGTGAACATTTTTTCATATGTTTGTTGTCCTCATAAATGTCTTCTTTTGAAAATTGGCTGGTCATATCTTTCACCCACTTTTGAATAGGTTTGTTTATTTTTTCTTGTGCATTTGTTTTAGTTCTTTGTAGATTCTGGATATTAGGCCTTTGTCAGATAGGTAGATTGCAAAAATTTTTTCCCATTCTGTTGGTTGCTGGTTCACTCTAATGATTGTTTCTCTTGCTGTGCAGAAACTCTTAAGTTTAATTAGATCACATTTGTCTATTTTGGCTTTTGTTGCCAATGCTTTTGGTGTTTTAGTCATGAAGTTCTTGCCTGTGCCTGTGTCTTGAATGGTTTTGCCTATGTTTTCTTCTGGGATTCTTACAGTGTTAGGTTTTATGTTTAAATCTTTAATCCATCTGGAGTTAATTTTAGTGTAGGGTGTAAGGAAGGCGTTCAGCTTCTGCTTTCTGAAAATGGCTAGCCAGTTTTCCCAGCACCATTTATTGAACAGGGAATCCTTTTCCCGTTGCTTGTTTTTGTCAGGTTTGTCGAAGATCAGAGGGTTGTAGATGTGTGACGTTTCTTCCAAGGCCTCTGTTCTGTTCCATTGGCCTGTATCTCTGTTTTGGTACCAGTACCATGCTGTTTTGATTACAGTAGCCTTGTAGTATATTTTGAAATCAGGTAGTGTGATGCCTTCAGCTTTGTTCTTTCTCCTTAGGATTGTCTTGGCTATGTGGGCTCTCTTTTGATTCCATATGAAGTTTAAGGTGGTTTTTTCCAGTTCTGTGAAGAAGGTCAGTGGAAGCTTGATGGGGATAGTGGACAACATTTCCCTTTCTATGTGTTCAGCCTGGTCATCTCCCAAGCACGTTCTGATCCTGTAGGTGCGGTATTGAGTGAAATCTGCTCTTCAGGGTCACGTGTCTAAGATACTACCTTTTCTCTCTACGTAAGATTTCTTGTTTCACCAGGTCAGGCTGATATTTTAGGATAGTCGTTGACAAATCTGATTCTGAGATGGTAATATACATGAGTGTACAATGACTAGACCCCAACTTCAAACAACACCATCCTCTTATCCCTTTTCCTTTTCTCAGCTGACTGTGGGCATCAGTTTTTCTTTCCCTCCTCCCCTTTCTGTGTGAAGGTGGCTTGTGGGTGAGGCTGCAGTGTCCTGCTCTGTGTTTCATGACTCACATACATCCAGCTGTGTTGGGTGCAGAGTTGTGAGCACTCTGGTGGCCTCAATTGTCCTCTGCCTACCTACTAGAGAATGGCACTTCAGATTTGCCATTTGGGGTCACCTATGCCCATCAGTGTCAACTGTGAATCTGGGAAGAAATGGAGGTCAGTTCCCAAATAGTCACATTTTCTGCTGTTCGACCTGATGGACAAGTGAAGAACTTGAATCTAATAATTCCTACCACATTTGTCAAATCAAGCAGTTACTTGCAAGAGGAAGATTGTGTCAGTAAGGTTCAGTATTTGTGGAATTAACCTGGTATCTGTGAAGGTCTTTGAAAAGAGTTTGAAACAGCCTGGAACTAACAATGCATATTTTCACAACCATTATATATATATCTTTTGGTATTTCGCAAGCTCTAGGTTGTGAGTTCTTTTGGTCCTCTGTGCTCTGCATGTTGGGGTGAATTGTGGTCCTGCTGTCAATATGAAGTATAAGTCTTATTAGATAGTAATAATGTGTTAACAGTAATAATGCATTAGCACTGTGGTGATCTTATGGTTGTAAGAAACTGCATCTATCTGCAAGATGAATGTGCTGTGATCTTCACAACGACCTTGTGAAAAATTAAAACATTTTGGTTGAAATATGTATTCTTCTTAATTAATTTTTCAGAAGGAGGAAGAACTGGCTTTTCTTATGGCAAATCTTCACTTCCATCACCTTGTGGAGAGGAGCACATTAGGCTCGGCCACTATGTATGTATTTAAATGTGGGTGTGTTGAATTTTTATGCAGTAAAGTATTAGAAGTTGTTGCTGTCTTACTATCCTGAGAATAGCTGCAGAGATACTCTGTTTTTAATCAGTAAACACAGACCAACAGGCATAATTACTTAGCTGTTGCTAAAATAGTTGGGTTATTCACAAGCACATATTTGCTTTATTTATTTTGGTTTAAGAAATTTATACCTAGTAGGATGTTATTTCATTGCTTCAAGATGCCACTATTGTCCTTCAAGTTTTGCTGTTATGTGAATTTTCACATCTTGCAAGGCATGTGGACTCATGGCCCCTGGGCTGAACCTGGCCTGCAGATGATTCTTTCCAGTCTGGACAGTATTTCTTAATGAATTTGAATGTCTTTAGGTAGGGCGCAGGCTTCCCATTTCACTGTTTTCCTGTGGACTTAGACTTAGACTCTTCCTTACTCATTTTTTTTTTATTACCTGAAAAGTTCCTGAGTATTTTTGAGTTTGTCACTTTATGTAGTCATTATTTTCTTGTTGAATAAAGCTTTGCTTGTCTTGGCTTTGGGTCTGCCTGGGTGTCTGCCCTGCAGATCAGTGTTCAGTGCCTTTTCCTGCTGAGCACTTCTGTTCCCTGGACACTGAGAACAACAGTAGGGGCAGAGTGGCCTTTGTAGTGCAGCCATCCTGAGGTCAGCTGCAGAACCACTTACACCTGTATTGGGCTGTGGCTGCCTATGGAACTCACATCATTGCCTGTTTTTACGGAAGCTGGTAAAAGAGCATTGGTCAGTCTTTTAAGTTCACGGTATTGAAGATTATAGGGAATCCTATGGCATTTTATTTGTAGGAGGTAGTGCTTTGATATGGATGCTAATTTTTTAAATAGTCTTTTCAAACCAGGAATTTTATCCCTGTTGTTGACAAGTTTGCATGCTTCTTTTGTTTTCTTTTCAGCCCCTATGAACTGCCTCCACATAGCCCCTTTTTGGATGACAGTCCTGAGTATGGACTGCACGGCTACCAGCTCCATGTAGATCTGCACAGCGGTGGGGTTTTCTACTTGTGTGGTACATTTCGAAATCTCTTCACCAAAAAAGGTAAAATTAATTGAGTTTTTATTTCATTAAGAAATTAAAGGTTGAGATGAGGAAACTAATTTTTATGTCTGAGTTAGGAATCTTCCTCCCTGGTCACTTTATAATCTTTTGGCACCAGTATCCTCCCAGACCCCTGTGTCATCCTCGGGCTTGTCAAAGTCCTCACTGGATTGAGGCACTTCAGCTCTGGCTCTGTCTCCTTCATCACCATCACTCTCAGTGCCACCACCTGGGTCTCTGCTGATGCTTCCTTATTATTTTTCCATGTAGCCTCCTTTCCTGAGACTTCTCTTCTTTCTCAAAGGAATGTGGTAAATTTGCCAGCGGTGCTCGTGCCACTCCTACCCAGGATGAGAATAAAGAAAACCAGGCTTTCTCCTCTGCGTACTGCATCAGTGTTTGCCATGCCTACCAAAGCCAGGACAGAGGCTGCGGCTGACAGTGGAAGGGAGGGGTCTTAGGCCAAGCAGGAAAAAAGAGGAGTGTAGAATGCCCCATTCTGACTTGCCTGATTATTTCCTTTTGGTTTCATTCTTTTGTAGCCTGTAAACTTGGAGTTTCATGTAAGGACTTGCTTAGAGTCAAAGTTAACATTTCTGTTAAAAATATTTTAAAAGGGAAGTTATGTACTTCATTTTGCATTATATTGAGAAGTATATAATGTCAGGTTGTCCTACTGTTAGTAATGCCAGGTTTTATCATCTGGTTGAGATGGTGACCACTGGATATCTTCATTATTAAAAGTGTTATTTTTCAAATATCCTGGTACTCCAAAGTCTTTAACCTAGTGGATTTGACATCTATTAATGATCTTTGCCTAAATCAAATATTTTGTTTAAAAATGTTGATTTCCTAATTATGTCACTATTTCTATATTTATCAAGTAAGCTTTTGTAAAGAACTTTCTTTTATCAGCTGGGTGAACTTCTATAAAGGCAGAGACAATGCTTAATTCTTTCCTTTTAACTGCCAATTTTCAGATGAAGAAATTGATGTTACAGAGCAAAAGGGGCTTGCTGCCTGATGTGCTAGAAACCAATACTCTGATACCAGGTTTTTGAGAAAAGAAAAGATTTGTATGGCGATGGTGGGAGTCCAGCTCAAATGTGTCTCCTCATGGTGGCTTTAAGAGAGTAACTTTATTAGAAAAGGTTTAGTGAGTGGATTCTGGGATTGGTAGGTGATTGGTTGAAGGAAAGGGGAGATCTGCAAAGTCCTCAGGCATGGTTCAGTTACCTCTTTACGCCCTCATTTCTCCCCAAGGGTTATCCCTTCTTGGTTATCCCTCCCTGACCTCCCCATGCTCTCTCTGTCTCTCCCTTGGCACCCCCCAGTAGACCCCAGTGTGTGATGCTCCCCTCCCTGTGTCCATGTGTTCTCATTGTTCAACACCCACCTATGAGTGAGAACCTGTGGTGTTTGATTTTCTGTTCTTGTGTCAGTTTGCTGAGAATGATGGTTTCCAGATTCATCCATGTCCCTACAAAGGACACAAACTCATTATTTTTTATGGCTGCATAGTATTCCATGGTGTATATGTGCTACATTTTCCTTGTCCAGTCTATCATCGATGGGCATTTGGGTTGGCTCCAGGTCTTTTCTATTGTAAACAGTGCTGCTATGAACGTACGTGTGCATGTGTCTTTATAATAGACTGATTTACAATCCTCTGGGTATATACTCATTAATGGGATTGCTGGGTCAAATGGAATTTCTATTTCTAGGTCCTTGAGGAGGTGCCACACTGTTTTCCACAATGGTTGAACTAGTTTACACTCCCATCAACAGTGTAAAAGTGTTCCTATCTCTTCACATCCTCTCCAGCATCTGTTGTCTCCAGATTTTTTAATGTTCACCATTCTAACTGGCATGAGGTGGTATCTCAATGTGGTTTTGATTTGCATTTCTCTAATAATCAGTGATAATGAGCATTTTTTCATGTTTGTTGGCCTCATATATGTGTTCTTTTGGAAAGTATCTGTTCATATCCTTCTCCTACTTTTGGATGGGTTTGTTTGTTTGTTTCTTGTAAATCTGTTAAAAATATTTTAAAAGGGAAGTTATGTACTTCATTTTGCATTATATTGAGAAATTATGTACTTTGTTTTATTATATTGTAAATCTGTTTTAGTTCTTTGTAGATTCTGGGTATTAGCCCTTTTTCAGATAGGTAGATTGCAAAAATTTTTTTTCCCATTCTGTTGGTTGCCAGTTCACTCTAATGATTGTTTCTTTTGCTGTACAGAAGCTCTGGAGTTTAATTAGGTTTCATTTGTCTATTTTGACTTTTGTTGCCAATGCTTTTGGTGTTTCAGTCATGAAGTCCTTGCCTATGCCTCTGTCCTGAATGGTTTTTGCCTAGGTTTTCTTCTAGGGTTTTTATGGTGTTAGGTCTTATGTTTAAGTCTTTAATCCATCTGGAGTTAATTTTAGTGTAAGGTGTCAATAAGGGGTCCAGTTTCTGCTTTCTGAAAATGGCTAGCCAGTTTTCCCAACACCATTTATTAAACAGGGAATCCTTTCCCCATTGCTTGTTTTTGTCAGGTTTGTCAAAGAACATATGGTTGTAGATGTGTGGCATTGCCTCCAAGGCCTCTGTTCTTTTCCATTGGTTTATATCTCTGTTTTGGTACCAATACCGTGCTGTTTTGATTACTGTAGCTTTTTGGTATGGTTTGAAATCAGGGAGCGTAATGTTTCTGGCTTTGTTCTTTTTGCTTAGGATTGTCTTGTCTATGTGGGCTCTCTTTTGGTTCCATAAGTAGTTTAATGTCGTTTTTTTCCATTTCTGTGAAGAAGGTCATTGGTAGCTTGATGGTGATAGCATTGAATCTGTATATTACTTTGGGCAGTATGGTCATTTTCACGCTATTGATTCTTCCTAACCATGAGCATGGAATATTTCTCCATTTGTTTGTGTCCTCTCTTATTTCCTCAAGCAGTGGTTTGTAGTTCTTTTTGAAGAGGTCCTTTGCATCCTTTGTTAGTTGTATTGCTAGGTATTTTCTCTTTGTAGCAATTGTGAGTGGGAGTTTGCTCATGATTTGGCTCTCTGTTAGTTTCTTATTGGTATATAGAAATGCTTGTGATTTCTGCACATTGATTTTATATCCTGAGACTTTGCTGACGTTGCATATCAGTTTAAGGAGATTTTGGGCTGAGATGATAGGGTCTTCTAAATATACAATCATGTCATCTGCAAATAGAGACAATTTGACTTCCTCTTTTCCTAATTGAGTACCCTTTATTTTTTTTTTCTTGCCTGATTGCTCTGGCTGGAGCTTCCAATACTATATTGAATAGGAGTGGTGACAGAGGACATCCTTGTCTAGTGCTTTATTTCAAAGGGAATGCTTCCAGTTTTTGCCTATTCAGTATGATATTGGCTGTGGGTTTGTTGTAAATGGCTTTTATTATTTTGAGCTATGTTCCTTCGATACCTACTTTATTGAGAGATTTTTTTTTCTTTTTTTAATTGCATTTTAGGTTTTGGGGTACATGTGAAGAACATGCAAGATTTTTGCATAGGTACAAACATGGCAGCATGATTTGCTGCCTTCCTCCCCTTCACCTATATCTGCCATTTCTCCCCATACTATCTCTCCCCAACTCCCCATTCCCCTTATTGAGTATTTTTAGCATAAAGAGCTGTTGAATTTTGTTGAAGGCCTTTTCTGCATCTATTGAGATAATTATGTGGTTTTTGTCTTTGGTTTTGTTTATATGGTAGATTACGTTTAGAGACTTGCGTATGTTGAACCAGCCTTGCATCCCCGGAATGAAACCTACTTGATCGTGATGGATAAGCTTTTTGATGCGCTGTTGCAGTTGGTTTGCCAGTATTTTATTGAAGATTTTTGCATCTATGTTCATCATGGATATTGGCCTCAATTTTTTTTCCTTGTTTACTCTCTGCTGGGTTTTGGTATCAGGATGATGTTGGTCTCATAAAATGATTTAGGAAGGGTTCCCTCTTTTTGTATTGTTTGGAATAGTTTCAGAAGGAAGGGAACGAGCTCCTCTTTGTACATCTGGTAGAATTCAGCTGTGAACCGTCTGGACGTAGACTGTTTTTGGTTGGTAGGCTATTAATTGCTGCCTCAACTTCAACCTTTGTTATTGATCTGTTTAAGATTTCACCTTCTTGGTTTAGGCTTGGGAGGGTACAAGTGTCCAGGAATTTATCTATTTCTTCCAGATTTACTGGTTTATGTGCATAGAATTGTTTCAGTGATTGTAATTTGTATTTCTGTGGAGTCAGTGATGATATCCCCTTTATCATTTTTTATTGCATCGATTTGATTCTTCTCCCTTTTCATTTTTATTAATCTGGGTAGTGGTCTGTCTATTTTGTTGATCTTTTCAAAAAACCAGCTCCTGGATTTATTGATTTTTTTGAAGGATTTTTTTTTGTGTGTGTTTCTGTCTCCCTCAGTTCTGCTCTGATCTTAGTTATTTCTTGTCTTCTGCTAGCTTTTGAGTTTTTTTGATCTTGCTCTTCTAGCTATTGCAATTTTGATGATAGGGTGTTGATTTTAGATCTTTCCTTGCTTCTCTGGTGGGCATTTATTGCGATAAATTTCCCTCTAGACACTGCTTTAAATGTGTCCCAGAGATTCTGGTACGTTGTGTCTTTGTTCTCATTGGTTTCAAACAACATCTTTATTTCTGCCTTCATTTCATTGTTTTTCCAGTTGATATTCAGGAACAAGTTGTTCAGTTTCCATGAAGCTGTGCGGTTCTGAGTTAGTTTCTTAATTCTGAGTTCTAATTTGATTGCCCTGTGTTCTGTGAGACTGTTTGTTATGATTTCCATTCTTTTGCATTTGTTGAGGAGTGATTTACTTCAAATTATGTGGTCAGTTTTAGAGTAGGTGCAATGTGGTGCTGAGAAGGATGTATATTCTTTAGATTTGGGGTGGAGATTTTTGTAGATGTCTGCTAGGTTTGCTTGTTCCAGGTCTGAGTTCACATCCTGGATATCCTTGTTAGTTTTCTGT